TCTGAAATATATGATTAATATATTGGAGGCTTACATTAGTGTTCTGGATTCAACAGGCAGGGGTAGACGAGAAGGATCAATAAAGATCCTAGGCTTCTCGTACTAACCAATACGTCATTGGTTTGGAACAGTAGTAAGTTCGTATAAGTCTTGTTATGATTGGGGATCTTATCACGCAAGAATTGACAGGCCACAAGTCATAACATGACGGACCTTTACCTTCTAGCATATATGCTACTCAGTAGTGATCTTATATTTTGAAGCCTCCTGAATACCCTTCGTCATCTTGTAGAAGGACTATTCGAACTCACTTCGAACTCAAACTGTAAGGGAAATACGCGTAAGTCTGAGGTAGAACGCAGTCGCCGTTAGAAATGCCTAGGAAATGAGCTTTCGCTCAAGATTTAATAGATGTTCATACTGTAAATTCAACAGCGGGCATGCAAGGTGGTCAGGTACGTTACATGTTCCATCGATTTAGCGTAGCGACCATAAACATTTCGCCTCAACAACGTGTGGAGATTTATTTAATCGTCCTGATAGCGTTTTTTTGGATTTGGGAACAGCATGCTCTTTAATCAACAGTACTATTGTTTCTAATGATTTGTCCCTCTACAATACTTATAATGTAAATCTCAACACGGCAAACGGAACTTTGATATCTGTTATGGGTAAAATAACACTGCAATGGACCCTTGAACAATCGACTTTTACACACCATACCTTTGTCATACAGAACCTATCTAGGGACGTTATTTTAGGTACAAACTTGTTGAGTGAATGTGGGGAATTTTAAAACTTAGAGGAAAAGGTATATATGGTCCGGAATTCAGTTTGGAAATTGTGTAGATACAGTGTAATGCTAATCAAACGGAGACAAATGATATTTCACTTTTACTGGCGAACTGCGCTCCGAGATATTTAAGATTATTAACAAGAACTTTAGAGAAGTTTTATGACGTATTTGCCAGAGAAACAAAAGATATCGCAAATGAAAAACCACGTAGTCCTCTCCCTGTCGTGTAAGTGTACAGTTTAAAGAGGCTCTTAACGACATGATACAGGAAATGTTAGGTCGTAATATAATCCAACGTCCACGTCACCTCATACAGGGCCAAAACGTCCTGGTAAAAAAGAACGGGACCTTAATACTATGCATCGATTATCGTAAATTCAATGATGTCACGAAACGTTGCTCTGTTTCATTACCACGAATAGACAATGCATCAGATGCGCTGGCCGGTTTAAATAAGTTCTCAACACTAGATTTAGCATATATCTATTGGAAAATTGTAGTACAACCAGATGGCCGACACAAGACGGCTTTTACAATACCATCAGCTCTAAATTAATTCCAAACAATGAATTTTGAACCAACTGATGAGCCCTCTGCTTCCCAACGATTAATGTATACAACACTATCAAGGTTAGTGCTACATGCTTGTTTGGTGTATCTGGATGATTTTATAGTACATGGGTCAAGTTTTCGAGAGCATTTAGAAAATCTGCAAATAGTTTTGGGACGCCATCAGAAATTCGATTTAAAAGTACAGCCATCGAAATGCTTCTTTTTGAGGAAGTAAGTTATGTTCCTAGGTTACGTCGTTGATAGTCAAGAAATACATTCAAATAACGAAAACTCGATGTCATACGAAACTAGGTTGTTCCACAAAATGCTCATGAACCCCGCGGTTTCTAGGTTTAGCAGCTTATTATAAAATTTTTATCCAAGGATTTTCGGGGGGGGGGTAGCTCCTCTTCATGAATCGATACGAATGTCAAATTTAAATGGACTGGTAGGTACCCAGCAATCTTTCGACCGGTTGAAAGAGTTGTTGTGTTTGACGCCAAATTTAGCATATCTGGAATGTTTCCTCATTTCTGGTCGTTCCATCTTAGACACCGATGCAAGTAATCAAGCTATCTGTGCGGTGTTACCACAAGTTTCTTCAGACAGGAAAACAAGGGTCATTTTGTACGGAAACACAATTCTATGTAAATCAGAAAAAATATTGCAAAACACGCAAAGAGATGCTAACAGTCATTTGCTTTGTGCACTACTTCCGGCATTACTTATTGGGACGTAAGATTGTTATTACAACTAATCACAAAGGTTCAGTGTTTTTACATAATTACAGAAATCCGGAAGGGAAAATCGCTCAATGGCCAGAGCGCTTACATGAATATGACTACGAATGTATCCATGATTCTTAGACACCTTTAGAAGAAATTCAAGGTGTGAGTTTGAAAGGTAGATGTCTATGGTCCATGTGGAAATCCTTAACAACGATAGATGGAGTATTATATTTTCGTTATGGACTATGTTATTCTAGACAACTAGTAGTTCCGCAGTCTATGATGGTGGTGTCTTGTGTGATGTTGATGATCTCAGGTATATCATAGTGTTGAAGATGGTTGATAAGTCGTGTAGGTTGAACGCTATATACGGTTCCTAAGCTATTTCGGTAACCCGCAGTCTAGAACTACACAGCGACTTGAACTCCAGAGAGAAGACACAAGAATGAGAGAAAGCACTTTATTCCAAGGTTCATTTTTGTACAGAAAATCATGGGTATTTATAGATTTTGGGATCTGTTAAATCAACATCATTTTACAGCCAATCCGATAACAACACATTATGCTACCGACCAATAGTAGCACGCCACGTTGGAAATCTAGAACGTTCCATCACACTCTGATTGGCCAGGACTCTTCGGCTCCTTGTGGGCCTCTGGAGGCTCCGTTGAAGTTCTCCGGAAGCCGACCCAACAATGGTCTTACGATATTCTCCCACCCGCACTGTCAAACGCCTTGTCATAGTCAAGGAAGTTGATGTAAAGTGATAAGTTCCATTCAATTGATTGTTCGACGATGATCCGTAGTGTTGCGATTTGGTCTGTACACAACCGATCCTGACGAAATACGACCTATTGATCTGGAAGCTGGTCGTCTACTGAGTGTTTCATCTGGTTCAATGAAACTTTGTCGAAAACTGTTCCTGGTACTGACAGTAGTGTGATTCCTCTATAGCTTTCACATTTGCTCAGATCTCCTTTCTTGGGTATTTTGATGAGGTATTCTTCTTTCCAGTCGATCGACACTTGTTCTTCCTGAATAGAACGTGGAGCACGTTTGTAGTTGCCTCTACGTCTGACCTCAGTGCTTTAGGCAGTATATTGTCGGGTCCTGCTGCTTTTCCACTCTTGATTTGTCTGATGGTCACCCTGATTTCTTCAATGGCGTGACATCTATAGGAAAGTTTGTAGGCGCCGCATCGATATCCGCGGCAGGTCTATCCAAGAGTTCCTCTAGGAATTTCATTTACCTGTTCCTCTGTCCTCGAATCTCAGTGATTTGTCTGCCTTCTTTATCCTTTGGTGGTCTCTCTGGTTTGCCATATTTCTCCGTCAGTTTTTTCGTTGTCATGTAGTTGTTTGATATTTCCTTATGTCGCAGCTTTATCATCTGTCGTTGCTAGCTCTTCCACGTATAGCTGCTTGTCAGCTCTAGTGCTCCTCTTCACTTGTTTGTTCGCTTCTATGTATTCAGCTTGTGCCTTAATATTCTCTTTTCTTGTTCGACTGTTATTAATCATTGTCTACTTTTTCTTCCTTTCTTGAATCTTGTCCAATGATTTGATAGAGATCCATTCCTTATGATGATAATATTTTTGGCCCAGAATCTCCTGACACATTGAGATTAATGCTTCTTTGATTTCTTTTAAGTTGCCTTCCATAGAAGTTTCTTCTTCTTTGAGTTGATCCTGTAAGGCTTGAGACCTGTTGTTGAGTTATCTTGAATTCGTTGAGTTTGTCAGTATGTCGAAGACAGGATGTATTGAATATTTTCAATGCTGTTTTTCCAATCGTCCAGTGCTGCTTTAGCTTCAGTTTCATTTTGGCAACCACCAGGTAGATGGTGATCTGAAGCTATGTCAGCTCCCCTCCATGTTCTCACACCTCCCATTGACCTGAATTTTTAATGATGCAAGTATGATCTATCTGGTTCTCAGTGGTGTGGTCTGGTGAGGTTCATGTAGGTTTGTGTATGTATTTATGTAGGAATATTGTGTCGCATATAACCAAACTGTTGAGTGCGTATAGGTTCGCGAATCTACCATCATTTTCGTTTCTTTCTCCTAGTTCATGTCGTCCTATGATATCTTTAAATCCGGTGTTGTGTACTCCAACTTTGGAGTCTAGGTGTTCCATCAAGATGGTGAGACGGTTCCTAGGCACTTCGTTATGATTGATTGCAGCCTTTCAAGGGCTGATATTTATTGTCGTCGTTGCTATCAATGGTGGGTGTATAACACTAGATAACATTCATCATGATTCCCTACTTCTTTGTTTTAAAGGATTCTTTGATGATCCTGAATCCATGAGATTCGCATCCCAAAAGTGCTTTCGTGCCTCTTTGAGCAGTGTCAAAGCAACTATCTGACTATGCAAAGCCTTTTCTTCCTCGTGTATAGAGTACAGTACCATCTTTCTCGAATCTACTGTTTTCTGTCCGGCTTCAGTCCAATAGGTTTTACTGAGCACCACCAAGTTGTATCTCCACATTTTTGTGGCTATTTGATTGGTTCCTCCACACTGTCTGGACATTCCATGTACTTTTATTAGTTGTCGCTCTGATTGTTAGAATGGACACCGGCCTCTTGACTTCTGAAGAATCTTGACTTTCATTCTGAGGCGTAATAATTCTTCCTTCAACTCCTAGGACAAAGTTTAAATGGTTCGCTTTGTTTGATCTGGTTGGGGTTGTTTAGTAAGATTTTTTCCCACGGGATGGGGTTGTCGACTACATGGTCGACCCTGCCTCTTTACCTGGGCTTGGGACCGGCAGTAAATTTAGAAGAGCTATAGGCGGAGTTAGGCACAGTTAGAAGCTAATCGACCTGAGAACATACACATATCTCATCAAGAGATTTGCTCAAATGGCAATTTCAGTCAACTGATCGATAACTATGATGCAGACCATGTTACAAAGTTTAAAATCTCATTAGCGGGGTTTTTCACGGATGGTTCTGAAGGTCAGTGACATCTTTGACATGAAGCAACTTTCAGAAACGCTCTGAAGTCTAACAGTTTGCTAAGGTTGACTGTTACTTGTTGACGTTTTTTAAAGATATGACACACGATTTTATCAGATTGTTTGCATCTTAATTTCGTTTGTCTTTTTGAACTTAAAATGTTTACTTATGAAGAGGTTATAGGCACTCAACACTTAAAAACGTCAAGTTATGGTAGATGATCGCCATTTAATCCAGTGTTCGACGTCGAGTTCATTTTCATTTTGTAATATTCACTCACTGAAACCCAATAGAGAGATTAATCTCTTTTGGGGAAATGTTTTGTCTGTTTTGGGGAAATAGCACAAAACCCCCGAAATTTCTCCAGATCTGGGTTAAATCCTAAAGCGTTTAGGGAGATTCAGGGATTTTTCTGGTATAACACGGTTTTTTCTCAAACTTTGGGGAAAACCCCAAAATTGAGAGATTGGGAATGTCTCATTACTTCATCATCTTATGGTTGCATGTCAATTTTAGGGCATTTTGTATCTTCATTAATTCCAGAATAAATACTTCAAACGTAAGTAATATGACAGTAGTTGATACTCGAGTTTCCTTGGAAACTTGCAGTCCTGTCGAATTTCAAGCCCTTTAAACTGTATATCTAGTAGCAGTTTAATATCAGTATGGCCTACAATCTTGTAAAGTATACACAATTTTAGTTGGCACACTTAAATTCCCATCCTTTATATTGCTGAGGGAGTGTGTTCCACGCAAGCTACAATGTTACGAGTATAGTTGTAAAGTAAAGTGAGTCAGCTTTACAATTCCATTTTCGTTTAGGCACTTATCATTCTAATCAGTCGTACTGCATCCAACAATAAAGTTCTAAGGGCCCAAATAAGTTTTCAGAATTACGATGGCATCCCGAGATTTACTTTCATACTTTGGATAAAAGCAGCCTTGATATAGACAAGTGTTCATCGGTTATAAAGTTAATAGCAATTCGCAACATTACGATACCAACAACTTTTCCCGTGCAATTAACCAAAGCAAAAACATATCAAAAATTCATCGTTATCGATTATATGTATTCTACGTGTTATTTTGACAAACTAAAACATTTACATTACCCAATATTAAGGACAGGTATTTGCTTTCAAAAAATTTGTCATAATTGTGCTTTGTTCCGGCAAGCTAATCGTGTCAGGATCTGCTAAGCCTCATTAGGTACGGTTTTCATACAAATAGTACTGGATAATGACTGTGGACTCCTGCTCATCTTATACTCGGCCTCTTGAAGCTTCTAGAGGATATTCAATTGAAGTATCATAATACTTGCATCTCCATTATCTATGATTTACTGGGTAAGGAATTCACTTATTCAGTGGTAATCGGTCCTTATTTTCTTAATAGTTGGGCACTCACTCAGTTGTAATTCAGAGCTTTAAATTCTAAACGCCAGGTTACATTTTCAATGCGTACTTTGACAGGTTAACCTCCTATTTGCTTAAGTTCTGCTAGCTAAATTAAGTTCCAATGTCGACAATCGCTGTATTATTTGATTAGTAATATCATTATGTTGGTAAATGCGCTAAAAAACAATCCGATCAAGTTTAAACCATCGTGTTCACATTCCAGTAAACATTAATTCACAAACAGTGTCTGGTCCTACGTTGTAGCTGACTGACTGGCTGGATTGTTTTCTAAACGCTCTCCGAATACGTCAGGCTAAACAACGAGTCTGTTGTCAAGTCTTTTATATAAGCTACAAACAAGCTACAACTAACAGACGGAGTAACTAAGTTTTAATTTAGGACATTAAGTTTTAGTTTAAGAAAGTCAAATAATGGAGTTGTAAACATGAATCGTCTAAATTATTTGGATATCATGTGTGTGTGTTCACCGATATTATAGTGTTTATGGTTCATAAAGTTTAAGATACATTTCAAGGATACCAAACAATAGTTAAGTGTAAAATTTGCGATGATTAATCTTATTTTTTAAACCAACTCCAGTGATCCATTTTCAATTAATTCTTATCCACCTCAATATTGTTTACAATCGCTACTTCAACTTTTTTCTGTTCTTGCCTTATTCTCTTAGTTTATTTTGGTTCGTTTTCTTATGTCATACTGATAAAAAACAAGCAATCTAAATTTAATTGCATGGTAAAAATACTGTTCACTGACGGTTACTGTTTGTCATTTGGAGCACCTCATTGAAATGCCGTTCTCAACCTTATTATTATAGGTACTTAATACGTTCACGCGCTTCTATAAATATGTGATTCCTACAATTGGATATAGAAATCAGTTTACGGGGCAAAATGTAGTATTTGATAAATCTGTTAAAGAAAAACAACGCGCACGATCAGCACTTACTGATGATCCTCACATGTATGACTACATACGTGAAGAAGTTGCCGACCGACTAGCTGATCGCCTAAATGATATATCAAGGTTATCATTGTTTTATCTTTGTTCTTGAGAATGTGATTTTGAATGCAGTTTCATGTCATGTTTTTGCAGAAGTTGCGTTGTACAATCAAATATGTGTTATTTTTAGTCTATTTTGCCTAACTTGACTTAGTTTTCTAATCGTGATTCTCTATGAATACCTAATTAACTACTTTATATGACTTCTCCAGGTTATTTAAATCTGCTTAAGTTGATTCTAGTCTATAAAAATCAAGATCGAGTCGCTATTATGTAAAAAAAACTTACATAGAATTTAAAATTTCGATTTTTCAGTTCTCAATGACAACCCAAAAGCAACTTCCCCACCTATAGTTTTCTCCTTTTTAAGCTGTCGAAGAAATAAATGAGATTTCATGCTGATTACAGTAAAAAATGAGTTAAACTGTCCAATTAAAATACGAGAAAGGCTAGTGTTGTCCCATCAACTACAGCATTCGTTAAAGAATAAAAAAATACCACTTTGTGAAAACTATTTGTATGTTTCGAAAGCTCGGAGTTCAGACCATTGAAGTTGTACATATATTTGGTTAAAAAAGGTCGACATGCAGCCCTGGACCTAGGTTTTGTACTAGTTGTCCCCTATCAGAAAGATTTATTTTCAGTTTTAAACAAAGTGACATCCTGCCCGGGACTCAAGCCTGCCTCATTCGTTATATTGGATAATCGTATTACTATTTAAATTTAGACTAAAGATCCTAGTATTGTATGATCAACATCAAGAATTTCTTTAATTTACAGTATTTAGAACGGAGTAATTAAAGTACATATTTATGTGATAAATCTACAAATTCTTAATAAGATTGCTGTGGTCATTATTGTTCACCGTTTTGTTGATATATGAATTATTCGGTTACTTTAGTATACGTAAAATCAAACTGCCTGTAAAACTCAATTGAACATTGTTGTAAACATGAAGTGAAAAGGTACTTTGATTGTTTTTTTTAAACCATAGAAAATTCGATGTCGCTTTGGATATTGGTTGTGGTCGAGGGCATTTATCTCAGTTTGTCACATCAGATAATATCGGGGTTCTCTACCAACTAGACAGTTCATCTGAGGTTTTAGTATGTCTCTTTTTTTGTTAGTTATGAGTTTGTTTTCGGTCATAACTAATTAATACATACGATGTTTCTATTCTGTCAATCAGTCTATTTTGATCCAAGAGAAACCTGTTTCAGTTTTCATTGTATTTTGAACGGTGGTTAGCAGTTGGAATTCATATTTCCTTTTATTTCGGACTACTTATATTAGTCCCCACTAAAACCCAGTACCCAATCTTCGAAAATCAAGTTGTTTAATTACTAATGAAACAGATAAATATTTGTAAACAATCATTTAAAGTTCTTAAGTCCTGATAACATATTCACGTAAAAGACCGTAAGAACACCATTATATTTGGGAATTACACTCGAAAGGATTCAAACATTATTCATAATAGTTAGTGTTTTTGATTATCTGTTTTGGTGATATTTTTTGAGACAAATCTCAGCTTAAACATTACATTTGTTCTTTTTAACGTTATCAATCCAACCATGTCGGTTGGAGAGTTGTAATGTCAATAGAAGCAGATTAAGTTCCTAAGTTGAAACCGTACTATCGACTGGTGAGATGTAACAGAATTAAAATTCCTCCCTTCTCCCGATAACCAATATCTCCAGGAATACAGTTTTATTACAATGAAAGGAATTTTTAAAGTGTCCTCCCTAAAAAATACGTAGCTCACTTTGGCAACTTGAACTGATGCGTATATATGCCTAGTCCTACGTTGTGGCTGACTGACCCATAGGTCTCCAGTGCCAGTAATAGTGTCTGAATAGTGCGGGGCTTATATAACAAAATTACACACAAAAGTGTATACATGATCCATGTTAAAGAGTTGTCTCAGTGGTCTTTCCGTAGGTTGACAAAATGACTATTAAATCAGTTTTTTATGTCTCCTCAAGAAGAGGTATCCTCCCATTGTGTGAAAAACCCAGAAGTTAACCATTCCATGTACCCCTCCCAACAACACAGCAGTCTTAGTTTAAAGTATACGTGGATGATAGTACAGGATATATGTTCCACCTATCACCGTTTGTACAGGTTCATCAACGAACTTAAAATTAAATTATTCCATCACCAATTAATTTTCTCCTAGTTGCTAGTGTTATTTGCTCAAAACAATTGACAGATGTTCGTATAAACCTAATTAATTTTGAGAGTGAATTTTTGAAATTGCCCTCTAACTAAACTAGATACAGTTGTGATGGTTGTTATAACCTTATTTATTCATTTATTTAAACACATAAACATTGTTACAAGAAAGCACCGACTACGTATGCGCCACACTTCGTCATTCGATTTATGTGAGAGCTGGAATACTGTTCGGGTGCCCAAACTGAAACAGATAATTTCCTTGGAGGGTCACTCCCCGGACTTTTTACCGAGAGGTTTAATCCACAAGGCAATGGGGTGTTAGATGTAGTCCCATGATAGCTGGTGACTAACATTAGGTTCATACGCCTCTTATTTCCTCAAGATCCTGGAGCCCATGTGCACCATTGGTTTGGAATCAGAGTTTTCCTACTCCCGTAGGTGGATCTCCCATGTCCACCAACCCGGTTAAAGCTCCGAGCATTCGATTTTCGACCTCTTAATTTCTTAAAAAACAGTAATACTGCGAGAATATAGTGAGTAGGACTTCTCTGACTGTGGCTTTATACGCGTGGCCATCTGAGAGAATTCGGAGAGAGACCTGAATCTCCCACCCTCTGCCGTACCGTGCATTTAGGGGATTGTTATAACTAATTATACTCAATTCATTTACCCATTCCCCTCTTATTTATTTCAAACTGAAATAATAATGAATAGTATACAGTAGTAATTTGACGAGGACATATCAATGTGAATTACATGATATATTTTTTATTATATGGATAAATCTCCATTATTATTTACCTAAATTCCATTAGAAATCATTTTAAACATCAAGATGTTAGCCACTAGACTAATCAGTTATCAGATGACTTATAGGTTGATAAACCTTTCACTGGAAACTATCATACTCTATTATTATAACAACGTCAAAATACATCATAGCAAAAACGCCTTATATGTTGACTAGAAAAGAATAAGCCATACCACCTTACGTAAACAATTTAGTATAAGTTTATTATATGGTAATCTAATTGGCGTTTTGATATGTCAGATGAAAATAAGCCGCGATTGGTCACTATACAAAGATAAACACCCAGTCTGTGATTTGTAACATAAGAAAATTTTTATAGTGCAACCATGATTTCTGCCCTCAGCTTCACCGTACACGAACTGCTTATATTTTTCTAGCCTACAACTTAGTTCCAAATTGTTGGTCAAAATTGTGTATCTGTGCGTCATGTGATCTAATCTAGTGTATTGTCTAGTATCCCCAATCTGTTATCCAGTTTAGTATTAGCCTACCAGTTGGATGAACGATGAACATATTTTTTAAATGTTATATGACATTGCTAAAAAGATTCGAAAGTAGTACAGAAGAGGAAATATAGTGAGTATATGAAATTCAAAATTTCCTACCATTTTTAATCTAATATTATTAGGTTTTTGTTCATCAAGCACCAATTCATATACTGTAGGCATCAGGTTATTAAATAATTCACTAATCGCTTAATCTTTACCTAATTTATAGTTTATACACGTAACAACAACAACTTTTTTACTTTACTAAGTCATCATTCAACTACAATTGTAGTATTTGTAAGCAAAGTTGATGAGTCCTAAATAAGACGAAACACTTTAATCACTATTCCTTATACAATTTTGCTCAAAAACAATTGTAACTTAATGCTTATATACGTCGAGTTAGCTCGCTATGGATACACATATACCAAAAGAAATTGATTAATTCCAGTCCTTATCATCAATAACGAAAAGACTCACACCCGTTCAACTAAACCTCAATGATAATAGTTTTAAAGTCATTCATTTTATGATATATTTGTAATTAAAGTTTTCTTGACATCTTCCCTTTTATGATTTTTTTGTTTAGAAACAGATTAAGCCATCTGCAGAAGTTTGTGCGTATAACATAAATTGCCATGAATACTGTCTACCTTTTCGACCAAATACTCTAGATTTAGTTCTAAGCTCCATGAGGTAAATTCGCTTTTATTTTCTTAATCTATGCCAGTTGATTGTATAAGCATTTCAATTTCCTCTTACAACTAACAATGTATCATATAATGCTGAATAAAATTTTACTGGTTATTTTCACTGAATGGTGCACAATGTTTCAGTGTTCCAGGCGGTAGGTTTTGATTCCGAGTTTCTAGTGGGAACATCAATATCGGAATCGGTTTACATCCAAATAAGTCTCAAATGAAAGATAAATGCTTTTCTCGAATTTCGCTACCTAACTGCTATTTCGCATTCAATTATACTGACAAGTGTATATCATTAAGTTAATTATGTTAAAAAGGGAAAGGACGAAAAGGAACCCATTAAATGTGAATCTAGTTTTCATATTCCCTAGTTCGTTAATTCCTTTTAGTCACTTTTCAGCCTCCCAATAAATTTCAAGTATCCTTCTTACAAGGCTATCTAAACGATGTTATTTAATGACATGGTCATACTGTGGTTTTGTGTCTAAAGTATTTGACTTCGATACATAACTGTTTGACGTTATAATAATACATCATTGACTGGGATCATACTCCACTTCTTTATCACTGCCTTTACAAAAAACATTAACATGAACTCCATTTTTGTCATTACAGTTGTTCGCAACTCGCCAGGTACACGTTTACTTCGATTCGAGCAGCATTCCAAGTATAAGGGCTAGTGACAATATCCGGTTGTCTAACCGAAGTAGGTAAAGCAGTACTTGAACCTGTGAGCTAGTGGCTGAAAGTCGAAACCCTTAACCAACTGACCCACTGCTCTATTGCAATTGATTTCTAAACATAATGTAACTGCTATGGAGAGTACAGGTTATCTAAGTTTATTTTGTTATTACAGGTTGATTCTTTCTTTATAGAAAAGCCTAAATGAAATTTTTCGAATTCATATCCTCGCAATAATCTTTACTGTTACGTGTTTGGTTGATATTCCCTTAGTTCTTTAATCCTGTTTTGCCTCAAGGTCATTGCATGTAACCATACAGACAGAGTTGTTCCTTTTCAATTTTCAACCTCTGTACGGTATATAAAGTTTTCCGAAAGTCCTTTTGTCTCTGTTAGCGTTTAGATTATCAGTTGTGACGTGGCTTGTGTGACAGATATCCAGTCTATTCGAGTCCTTATTCGTTACGCCATATTTAAGGGATCCTCAATTGTCTGTAAATAGAATTTACCGCCAACCAACCAGAAATCTCAATAGACATAACTCTTCTTATGCAAATTTGACAGTTACCTAACTTTCTCAACTATTGATTTAGTCTATCTTGTTTATGAACACTGTACAGTTCACATGAACTGATCATTTGTTATATTATGATGTCGAAAATTTTCTTCAAAATTCCCCATTTATCCTCAAAAAGAAATATTAAATATAATATCTAGGCATAATGGTTAGATCCAGTTAATTATAAATCAACACTGAATTATCATAAAACTTGGTTTTATGCATTATGTCCATTTATACCACTAAATTATACAAATAAATTTATCATGATACTCAGCTTTTGTGTTATCTTATACCTTTATTCCAGTAAGTGATTATTTTATCTATCGGATTGTTTGTTTTTTTTTAAAAATTCATTTCCATGTAAATTTGAAAGCCTACACTGGATAAACGATCTGCCTGGTTTATTAAAACAAGTAAATATTTTAAAATGAATTATATATTTTGTTTTTATGTTCATTCTTCTTTTTTCATCAATACACTTATAGTTATTACCAGTGATATTGAACATTTTACTTTTGCCAATTCATAAAAACCAGTTTATAACATTAGTTGATTGTTTGAAGGGGTTTTGTAGAGATTGGTTTGTTTCACAGTTAGTATTCCTCATAAATATTGATCTTATTTGGGGTACTATTGAGAATTGGAGAGCATTGAACAGATTCTTGATCAGAGTTTGATATTATTAAATCTATTTGAGCGTCCGATCACGCTACTTGGTAGCGTTCAGAAAATCATAGTTTATCACCAAGATTTCGTTTAGGAAGCGAAAAAAAATTTATGAGGTATCCGTGAAGTTTAATACATCAGTGTGCTTAGGAAGGAAAAATACCCATAGATTAGTCACTTAAAGATCGTTTACAACATACGATAATACGAATGACAGCTAGTTGCTGTATCTAAAGTTAACAATAACTGTCAACAATCGGAACGATAGCTTAATAGCTCAAAATATGGGAACTGTTGCATGTAAACAAAGAGTCAATAAATGCACGAAACTTGGTAAGTCACAATTACAATTATATGTATATTGTATGACAAATTCCTGTAAATACTTAAGGAGTTGTTACACAACAAGAAAAAAGCGTGGTATACTATGCCTTTAAAATGATGTGAAATTGAACTAGTTACTGAATATTATTCAGTAGTATAGTACGCCATAAAAGATCATCGAATATGATACGTATGCAAAATTAACACCTACCAATAGTCAAACTAAAAGTTTGGATACTCTGTATGGACGATACATTCGTCATTATCAAAAAGAATCAGCTGGAAAATTATCGAGGTTTGGTCAACAACATTTTCGACGACCTAAACTACACTAAAAACATAATCGAACAACAAACTACGTAATGTTGTCTACCACGTTCTCCTTCGAGGGCTACAGTGATAAAAGATATCCGTCGCAGAATCCCAAAAGTCCCATATCTGATATAATATCAATTAGCACAGAGTGTCTATTGTTAAAGTTTTGCATAGTAAAGTTCCAGTCACTGAGTTGATTCCATGGTAAATGATGCTAACGAAATATAGATCCTATTAACTTCGTATAGATTCTACCAATTGACCACGTCAACACAACGTAGATAATAAAAATTAAATAAGAAACATATTTCTGGCTAAAAATATTCCAGGCATTCAATTACCCAGTCATCTGACCCGCATCCAGATAGGCAGTGCCGCTTCCTCATAGATCTAAACAAACGTCATATTATGTAGACCGCGTGTAAAGTATAGGTAAGTGAAACGAATAGAAACATGTACACATACTCATATGTAAAGAACGCTCAAGGTTATCAGTAAATAATTTCCAAGTTCATAATATACGTGATCAGGCTAAAATGATATATTTAGTAGGTAACAAGTAGATGAAATAGAAGTATAACAAAAACTGCTACAGATTAGTAGGCTAGACTACAGCCTAATTTAATTATTCTTTCTAAAATTTTCTATTTATTCATTTGTCCTCAATTATCCCTTCTTTACTTTAACAAACTCTACTTAGATATTAACATGTTTGCGTAATGATGGGTGCTTATTAGGTGTGATGCCAGCAATGGATACATTGTATGAATTACGTGTATCATTGCAATTAGCTGAATTAGAAAGATTAGGCGGAATCTCATCGCATATCAGTCCATTCGTGGATAGTGTAGATATGGCTAATTTGTTACAATGTGCTGGATTCAATTTAATCACATTGGTAAGTATATTATGTTAATAATGTCTATTTGAACGGTGTTCTTTTTTTCTGTTGATCATATTTATTCTGAAGTCACATTCTAACATTTTTGACTGATTTGGAGATACTTTTTTTCATCATATTTTAAACAACATTGGAAGTAATAGAAAATAAGAGTTTTTTTGGGACGGTATAACCATCAATTGACTTATCAAGTACAGTTTTGTGTTTTATGGGGTAGATATGCAAATTTTGTCTGACGTTAAAGTCTAGAATCTTTGTTTCATTTAATTTGAGACTCGTCATCCGGATGTACTTGGATCATAGCGTCGGTGTCCACAGTAAAATTTGAACTTGCTACCTTTCTCTTCAAACCCTAACGTTATCCACTGAGCTATTGTGTCCAGATTGATAATCTGCACAGAATGTACATTTACCAACAAAGACTGTTCAAAATTCAGTCTTGAATGTCAACAGCGGGATAAATCAAAACTTTGCTGACAATGATGTAATCGCAAACGCATGTATTTTGCTTTAATTTGTACTGTTTGTTTGAGGGCTAGTTACATTACCTGACTGCTTAAAATGAATTAGGTGAAGCGAGCTTTGAAACTGCGAATTATCGATTAAAAATTGACCGATTTAACCACAAAGTCAGTGGTTTGCAATCTTGATACGAGCTCTTTGTCATTGTGATTTCTGTCAGTTTTTCACAGCTTGTATCTAAGATTGACCTTAATTAGACATCAGTAAAAACTAGAACGCACCAGACATATGTTTTTTCCTACTATGGGGCTCCTCAGTAGTGTGAATCCACGACCACATCGGGGGGTTGGTTGAACGCCAACTCAGGGATATGGAGTTTAACCACTCATCATAAGACCTGAAGGTTCAGGTTTTAATCCCCGGTGAGGTCATAGATGCATACTGCTGAAGTATCCCATGCTAGTATGTTTAAAGTAGATTTTATCTCATCATCACTAGGGATTCTTAATTACGATTTACACTCGGTGTTGTTTTACTTGTATTTTCCCATCGTTCTTTAGGACTGCAATTGATCAGTCTCATGTTGGCATATATTCATCCTGTGCGGATTGCCTCGATTTAGCCTTAAGTCACAAGCTTAACAATGGAAAGATACAAGTAAAACAACACCAAGTGAATTTAAACTTCACCGCATTGCACAAGCAGGTGGCTATCAGGACTCAATAGCTAAGTGGATAACGCGATGACGTTTCAAGCGAACGGCACTTGCTTCGAGTCCCGGAGTGAACATCAACTCTGCGATGCAGGTACATTCAGCTGACGAGTCCCGAATAGGACGAAACGCGCGTCCTGGATTCCACTGCTAGCCACTATCCATCTTTGCTTAATAAGATTTACACTGTTCAATAACAGACTCAACAGTAAACTGTCTGTCGGATAACCAAGTTAAAGAAAACATTTAACTATTTTTATAATTGTAATTATTTGTCAGATTTTATGCTTTTCTTACATCATGTGTTTTTTATCACAACTTTCATTATTAATATCCCGTAATATTATTGTAATGTTATCTTTATTCTGATGAATCTTAGTGAGTAGTTGGCTTTCCCTCCCCAAATAAAAGAAACATCCAATCATTCGAATAATTTCCTTGTACATTTAAGTTATCAACTCGTCCGATTACATAGCTCTGTTATTCTTTTATTCATATTATTTTTTGTGAACTGATCACTTAATGTGAAGAAATCTGTAATATCGTAGTCCTACTGCTTATAATTTGAAACGGGAATCACTATGATTTCTTCGATGTAAAGTATGGACATGAAACATTAGTGCAATGTAGGGTTATTGACTCTCCAAAAATACGTCCCCAAATCCCAAACTCACGTCCTTAGTAGACCAAAATACAATCATTTCTATGCTAATCTTTACCTGCAATAATATCACATGTAAGGGAAAGTACACACACTTGAATTGATACAGGGAATATAATTATCACACTGAATGAAAGTTCGTACTTGTCATATTAAATGAAGTGTATACTGAGTTGATACAATAAATATTAGCCTAAATAGTATAGTCTTTTTATCTCGTCATATCAAAATACAGTCACTCATTTATCATTTAATGTTATGAATCTCCTTTGATCCAAATTGTTGCACCTTGTATTTGTACAGAGAAAATAAGAAACTCTTATCTAACTAATCATTAAAAACAACAAATAATCTCAATCCACAACCAAATGTAGGTACGTGTACTTGAATTTAATACCATACTTCATGAAAGCAGCTTGTTATATCATTCGTCCACCTAAACCCGAAGTAGATGGGTTAGAAGGATTCAAATTTGTCGCTTATTAGTATGACGTAATTGTCATTGAAACACCACTTGTATACAACTAACTGTCTAGTAAATAATGTTAAATTTGTGTGTAGAATTCTGGACAGATAACTAAGTGGATAAATGAGACAATTCATGTCTATACACCCAGACAGAATTCTATTTGTTGCATAAAAATTTGTAATAATGTTAATTTGATAGCCTGACCAAATCATGTCATGTGTGTACGAAATCATTTATTCCTCGAGAAAAACTTGGACCTCAATTTTTAAATGCCGTCATTTGTCTTTTCTCTTATTATCCTTGTTTTTTAAAAACATATATGTTAAATCTTAATAAGAATGATTATATCTGTTGGGGGTCCTGGTTGTTCTTTGACATTTGCAAATTTAGAAGCAATTAAGCTATTTTGATGTGAACGATTCTATTGCAGACTCGATGACGGAAGCTGATACATGTTATAACAAGTATTTTCTATCAGACGGCTAAGACTCGATGCAAGATAAACTTGATGTTCCATCAGAACAACTTGAAATGGCACAACTTATTGTATATAATAACAAGGACGTGACCTTCAAGCACATAAAACTGGCGAACCAGGAGTAATGGCAACCAATTAAAAGATGGTAAAAAGCATGTAGTAAATTGAATTAGTAAAAAAGTATTCATGCTTACTGTTCCCGGTATGAATTTAACATTAATAACAAAACTTGAGTAATTTCGCGGCCACCTTAGAAATATATATTTTTCCTTCCCGTAATTTAATACCTCTTTGCTCCTTGAAACATGTGAAAACTTGAGTCAGTTTATTACATGCATAACACTGCTGTGTATAGAGTTTATTTCTGTTTGTGTATGATATGGCGAGTAATAGCTTCAAGTAGATCCAACGAAGAAGACTTTCTTTTTGAAAGAAGAAAGATGTTGGGAAGATTCAAAGCATTCCTCGAAAAAGTCAAGAGGGGTCATGAAAACGCTGGGAAATATTTTATCCAATCAGCATTGAATATAAGTTCTTCAGAAACATCTAGAAAATGAAGATTCACGTTATCACATTTCTGACTAGATAATTATCTATCCTGCTACTATATTTAGCTTGATTCCAGGTTATTCCAGAAATCTAAATTGCACCAGAAATACTATAAATACTCTCGATTTGCTGTACGTAAACCAGCCATTTCTTTCATGTTCAAGTTGCCGAGTAGATTCAGCTTGGGGTTAAAATAAGAGCTTAAGGGAGTGATTCGAGCGTTCACTTAGAAGACCTATCAGTGCAATGTCATTTTCATTGAATGTTTTTTATCGTTAAATTTCTAAATCTGGACAGCGTTCACGTCCTAGTTCAGGTGCTTTTCTTTATCTTTCATATTACACAATTATTTGCACAACTAAACGTGACATACAAAAACAATGTAAATCTCCAACATTTAATTACTCAGTCATTTGTTTTTTGTCACTTTCTTTTGTCAACTTTCTTAGGATGTTGATGAAATTGTAATTCACTATCCAGATATATTTGCGTTAATGAATGATCTACGATTTATGGGTGAATCTAATGCTACTGTTCATAGACCATTACGTTTGAATCGTGATGTTCTATTTGCAGCCTCTGCGATTTACAATGGTAAATAATGGTTACTGTACTATCATATTTTTTGGTTAAATTGTCTTAGTGTTCAAATGAAATACAATATTCAGATGGACATATTTTGACAAGATATAAAGTCATCCTTTGTTGAAATTGTTAGCTGTGTAATTCAAATATAGTTTTCTTGTGAGTTTAAAGATGTTCCTTATACAGGCGTTGTTATACACTTGCTTCTTAATTTGATTTTCTGTAATATTTAACAGTAATTCGAGATGTGAATTTCATCTTATAGGCGAATCGACAACTGAAATGTCTGTGCCATTATTTAAGGTATAATCAATTTGTAAACGTAGGTAATATCGAAGTGCCTGTTCAGTTAGTCTATATATCAACTAAAACTAATTGAATATAGCTCTGTAGATAGTAGTCACGAAACTATTTGCCGTTATACTCTGATCGGATATTGAATTTACAGCTACTATTGTGGGTGACTTCATGCATTGCACACGTTTCTTAAGAATTTCATAGGTTATTTAACCAATGTTATATGGAATAAGAATTGTTCACGAATTCGAATCCCCCTCTATTTTGCAAGATTTTGTACAATTGTACTTGATATCATGTTATCATAAACTAATAGATGCAATCATCAATGTATAGTTATGCTAGAAGTTCAATTTCAAATCCTTCGAATACCTAACGTCTTTTTTACTCACTTGGTGTTGTTTTACTTGTATCTTCACATTGTTATGTAGGACTGCACTTGATGAGTTTCTTGTTGGCATATGTTCATCCTATGCGGACATGTGTTTTTTTCCTTCCCATCATATATTTTCATGTTTAGTGCTTTCTTTCTTATCATTTGTTAAAAATATGCTTTCTTTATTAAGTCACCGGTGTTTTAATATACATGCTATATTGTCTTTGTGTTTTCTAGAACACTGCAAACCTATTTATACTATTCGAAAAATTTTCTTCATAATAAATTTTTTGGTAGATCTTAATTATTCTTTTAATTAGTCAAGATTGAACTTGTGTTTTTGGATTACTTAAATTTAAATGTAGAAAAGAATGAGTAGTTGTATTATTTCGTTGTGCTTGATAACCATTATTAAAACTATTGCCTGTACTTTTTCTTAGCTATATCACAAACGAATACAGTAGCCTTAGTTTCTGAAATTGTTGTCCCTTGGTGTCAGTCGTGTAGTTGGTAGTGAGGTAAAAGTTTCACCAATTGAGTGTACGACGCACTTATAACCTAATTGTTAGAAATTTTAGGAAATTGTTATATATATATATTTGCCTTATTTATTATCATGTGTGTTATAATCTCCTTCTTCTTACGGTTATGACCCAGCTATTCCTATTGCTTAGTATTCTCGGATACCGATTCACTCGACAAGTCCCCAAATCAGAACACGGTTGAACAGGAAAGAGATTATATTCCAAATAGCAAGTCAGAAGCACAATAGAGAAAAACGTCAGTATATTTATAGTTTTCTACATGAGAAGATTCTAGAGTGTTCTCCAACTATCGACTAGTGCTGATTGGTTAAGAATTAGCCAATCAGCGTGCACCAAAGCAATCGTGAATTGAGGATGCTTTAATCTAGTCTATGTCCCGCTAACAATGTGACAAGATCGCCAATCAGAACACCGACTTATAGAACTTGGCCCTGTATCAAACCAACGGCACGTTAACCATCACGAGCAGCCTAGAGTCAACTCTGAGTCTTTCTCGTCTAGCCCTAACCATTGGATCCAGAACACAATCTCAGCTTCCGCTGTATGAATTTTGTATTTCACACATACGCAGTTCATATACAAGCAAAATAGATCGCATCACACCATAAAATGGAAAACAACTATTATACGAGATCAGGCCAATAGTGGCTATGAGTGTGGGATTCTGTAACTGGCAACTTGGGAATATCTTAAGAATAGTAAATCGTATAATAATAGTCAGTAGGTCAAATAAAAATTTGTAATGAAAGGAATATAAAGATATATAGTCTAGTTACTTCATAGATATGCAACAAATATATATATATATACCTCTATTGTTTTTCAAGTCTTGTATGTTGCTAGTTAATAAATTCAAATTGTATCGCTTCTTATAGAGAAATTCAGTGTTCCTCGTGAAGATGAAGAGAATGAGCGCTGTATTCCGGCAACCTATCGGCTGTTATATTTTATTGGATGGAAACCTGATCCTTCTCAAGTAAGTGATCATTGTTCGTTATGTGTTGACTGAAGTATTTTAAACTTCTGAATCCTAGTCGAATACCAAGTAATACATCTTTATGACTGTGAGTCGAACTGCATTTTAAGGTACTCCAAGTCCCTACTAATTGTGAACATATGATTAATTATTCAGCGAAGTGGCAATATCCTCCCTGTTTGCATATTTGTGACTTTAGTGTAATATATGACCTTACCCATTTATAAAATGAATACCCCTCATAAATACTCTTCTTTGTTATGTTTCTTAACTTAATGATAACAACAAATTGTTAAATGAAATTTAATTCAATCCAACTCAGCAATCAAGTACCGATTCTTATAATTGTCTTTCAGTCATACTTTTTGTCCACGAGTTTATAACACTATCCAATTGCCCCATGCTAAAATAAGTGAACCGGAGTTTGGACTTGTATCATATTGATTAAAAGCTTAATGACTAAGCTACTGATTCACTTCAATGAGTTGATTATTTCGACTTCTTCTCTATTCATCTTGTTAATTTTATTTCATCCTGCTTACGTGGTGGTATGACAACTTTGGCTGACGAACATTTGTACTAGGCTCCCTGTCTTAATTATGACTGATTAACTCAAACTAGTCCTAAAGCAGTATTTTTTATTTGGAGAAAATTTATATGCACAATATGTTACTGTCAGATAAATAAAAATGAATAAACAGTGATATGATGCTTCATATTTAGGTGTAAAAATACACTGACGTGATTTGGGCAACTTTAATCAATTTTTGAGATTACCGATAGTTTTTATGATCACAAAAACCTTTAATTAAAAAGTCTACATCTCACTGTGCTTAAAACGAAATTCGGTGACCATTTTTTAAACCCATTTTTTAATCTCATCACCTTTAATCTTTTTTTAAACTTTTAAATCATTAATAAAGTATTAAAGTGCCCTTTTAAAATAGACGAAACAGATAATTTATTGAACTAATAATTACATCATTCCTGTTTCTTTTTTTATAGAGTAAACCTCTTCCTCGTGGTAGTGCACAGTATTCCTTGAAGGATCTCCACAGAATTGATGAGTTAATTAAACTACATTTTGAAAAATAAACCGAAGTCCTACCTTATTTTTTCAGTATATATATGTATATAATAAACCTGTGTTACATTAATCTCTTACATTTATGCCGTTGCTCGTTACTTTATGTCACTTGTAATTATTATCTTCCCCCAACTTTAACTATATTACCTACTGTTAACTCATCGTTTTTTTGTTTCAAATATTCATAACCCCTTCCTATCTATGTAGATTTTCTACAATTATGTCATAATTAAAAGACTTGGCAGTTCTACGTAATGCTCTTTCGTGTGATATTGTACTTTGCTTGATCTATTTATAATAAGATGTAAGTAGTACACTGAATGTGATGTAGGTTAGCTGTTGTAATACTCTTCTTCAAACTCAAATTTTTTTCATATTGTATTCAATGAAGGCTTGGGCAGAGGAAATCAGTTATATTATGAAAAATTACGCAGTGTCTGTTTAAAATATGAAAACAACACATTAAATACACTATATGCACATCTTTCTTGAATTGTCTCTTACAAAGTACATTGTTCTTTATTTTGCCTTCTGTGGTGTACAACTTATTTTTTAAATATTGAAATCGATTGTATATGGGAAGTTGTCTCAATATGCTTCATTTTCGATCACATCAACAATTCGTCTCATAGTATCATGACTCCTAAATATATGGACTACGTTTCCTGTTTGTTTAATAATCTGTCAATCCTTACTCATTGTTCTTATACATATTCTAATCATTTGCTCAACCTGAGATTACGTTGTATCCGTCTTACTTAAGGAACAAGTCACGACTTCTAAAACTGAACTGTTAATTTTCACTCTTTAATGACCGTATTTCCTATGACAATCCTAAGAAAAAGCTTTCACTTATGTCTCGAGTTTAGTTTGCTAATCATGTCTCTAGACAAGGAAATATCCTTAAATTTTTCGTTTCACGATATTTTATATTGTGACTTAGTAACGAAACGTTTTTTTATTTTAACACAGATATTGGCACAAGGAGGCACCAAATTACATATACGACACACAGATCTCATTTGATACGTGTGAGGGCTGTGATACTGCCTGGGTACCCAAACCGAGGCAGGTGGTTTTCTTAGGGGGCCACACACGGAGCCTTCGACCTGAAGGTTTGATCCACAAGGCAGTGGAGCATCGTATGGAGATGCAGTCCCATGGTAGCCGGTGACCAATGATTGGTTCATACGTCATTTGTTCCTTCAAGGTACTGAAGCCCATGTGCACCATTTGTCTGGAATCAGGGTTTTCCAACTTTCCTAGGTGAATCCTTCGTATCCACCAACCCGGTTAAAGCGCCGGACATTCTCTTTTCGTCCCCTCAATTTCGTAAACAACACCACGCCACAAGAATGCAGTGAGTAGGACTTCCCTGGCAGAGGCTATATAGGCATGGCCATGTGAGAGCATTTGGAGAGGGAGAGCGAACTCTCCCCACTCTCGGCCGTACCAGGGCATTTGGGGGCAGTAACGAAACGTACGAGCAAAGAAAAGCGACACTTGCTTCTAGATATTTGAATATGCAGGCTAAGTTCTTGTATCATTTCCTTCTTACAATATGGTGTTTAATCGTTTGATAGGATAGTTCGCTATATATTTATAGTAAATAAAAAATTAGTCAAATTACATCGATATAAATAGTTTTTTTGAGAAAAGTCTATCTAGTTTTGAAGGGTTTTTCAGCGTTTGATAGGTGATTTCTTTCCTTTATACTCCTAATTAAGTATCGTCTCAGATTTTGTTAAGAATAACAAACATTTATGAAGAATTCATGAATTTGTTTAATTTAGTATACACGCATAAATCATACAACAGTTTGTGGTCATCATTATACAACAATCTTGTTTTCTTTTGCCCATTTCTTCATAACACGTATAAGATATTCTGTCTGAGGGTTATTTGTATTACGCAAGATTTGGATTATCTCTCGAAGTCTTTCCTTGGGTTCTTGTCCATCTATTATGAGCTGGAAGGCACCGACACATGCTCCACGTTTACCCTCCCAGTATTCTGGGTTTTGGTCCAATCTCTCTAGTACATCGAATGCCTTAGCGGCGTAATAAAATTGTGCCATTTTGTAACAGTCGTTAGCTATTAACTGCAGCAGACTGAAGGATTCGGCTGAAGTTTCCATTTTCAGGTATAGCTCCCATGCTAAACGAGCTTGTTTAGTCATTATGTAGCACCTTGCTAGCCAACTTAAATAGGTATATTCTGAACGAATATGTTCCGATTGGATGAGCAAGAACACTTCTTGTGCCTCCTTATAGGCTCCTACAGCTGCCTTAGCTTGAGCATAGTTGAAGTTAAATATATCGTCATTATAAAAGTAGCTTTTTATCGAGTTTAAGTATATAAGAACATCATCAAACTGTCGAAGAAGAAAAAAACAAGAAGACATACATTGACGTCCAGATATTGTATCACATTCACTGGCTGATCCTCCCACTAGCTGGAAGTACTGTTGAGCCTGCTTCAAGTGCTCACGTGACCCATGCTCTTGACCCATAATAGCATTCACAACTCCTTTTAGTACATACTCTTGTGGTGTGCTAGGGTCGATTTCTTTAGTAAGTTCATATGCTTCTTGTAGTTCGTCATTTTTCAAATGGAAGATGATGAGATTAAGTCTTGCTTCTGGCAGGACGTCTAACAAGGGTGGTAGCACCTAAAAAAATATACATATATTCACTGTATTGTAATTTGGTGAGATAATCGACTATTTTAGTGATATAAACTATTAAATGGTTTTCAATAAAATTACCTATTTATGTGACAGAAAATATCGGATTTCTGCCGTCTTTGAACAGTTTAAATTTATTAACAAGGAAGTATTGAAGATCAGGTAGAAATGAGTCAGTTCCAGTGTTTTTAACTTATTAACACAGGGGACAAGGATAACGAAAAGTACAGTAAGACCAGATTGGCCATACTGTTAGGTTGTAAATGTATCTCGAAGTGATGTTACTGGTAAATAGGAAATGCTAGGGCATTTCTTGAATAACATCGGAAAGTTTTCTCACAACAGCACATGGGGAGCTATGGACCGTGTAGTAACTACAAGATTCTTATTCAGGTGTACTTTCCTCACCTAAATCAACGCATTTAACCTTTAAAAAGTATAATCAGTAGCTCAGCCATGCAAAAAAAATTTCTAAACACCAATAAGTAAGCGGATATAGTGCCAATAAGCCTTCGGTGCGCGCACACTTGAATTTTTTACGCGACGCACCAAAACTTCATTTAGTATTCGAGTTTCGACTAGGGTCCAGAGTCTGTCCCCAGTACCCATTTAGATAGAAGATACGTACATTTTAGAGAGTTTAGTCTTTGATTAAATCACTCTTACTCCTTGTAAGTAAATGACAGGAAGACTTACCATCTAAAACGAATTCTGAGCTTCGAATTTGTGTCACATAACCTGGGGTTTCACTCACAACAATAAAAATCCAAACATGTTCAATAAATTTAAATAAACCGGCCCTTCATTTTTAAAAAATAATGTACTAGGAAATTGGTCATAAATCAGTTCTTGTAAGGTTGGCAACAAGAAGCTACAAATATAGTAGGATCTTATCATATAATAACAGTGACAATATTTATGTATGTTAGAAAATATTATGGAATTTAATTTCAATATTACCTGCAGAGCTCCTTCCCCATTACGGAACACAACTAAATTGTGCTTAATGAGGTCTTGTGCATATGTAAATGATGAAGTAGAAACACAGTGAAGAGCTTTTAGTTCCGCTTCGGCTGCCTTGCCATTGTACGACCTGAAATTGATGCATGCTTTTAGATTAATGGCCGTTGCACTATCTGGATAACGTTGCTGGTATATTCCCAATACTTCCTGAGATATATCGTAATAATCCATCTTATAGTAACATAAAGCTATGTTTACATTTAATGCCAAGTATTCTCTATTATCCAGTAAGATGCGTTTATATATGTCAATGGCTTCCTGATGGTGGTTTTTAAGGCTGTGAATTGACGCCAGTGATAGTTGATCTTCTGTTGAGTTGTCTAACGAATTGTGGTAATTGAGAAGGGCGCGTTCGTCATTTAATTTATGAGCTATGTGGAACAAAAGTCTACTTTGTAGTTTACATGTTGGGCCATCTTTAGCAGATTTCATTGCTTCCTGGTACATCCCGAGGAAAAAGTAACAACATGCGAGATACGTGTGAACGTCTGGAGGCACATTAGGTTTTTCGAGAAGTTTCCTATACTCATCGGCGGCTTTTTTGTATTCTCCCAAATGAAAAGCCGAGTATGCTACCCATAGGTCTGTCTCAATACTGGAATTACCACAGCAGCGCTCAAAATCCGAAAGAGTTAGTGCTCCAGTGAAATCGCGCTTGTCAACGAATTCAATTAAATTCGGAATCTTTCTTGATTGTATTGGAACAGCCTTTTGTTTCTGGAGAGCAGGTTTAGAACGTGAAAGAATCATATTGATGAATATTTTGTACACTTCAATTGTTTATAAACTTAAAGCTGAACTTAAGGTTTCGGTTACTAACAGCAGCTTGAAAAATAACGTGTATAAATTTAGCGAGGACAGTTGCATATATCTGTCTGGAAAATCCGAATATAAAACTCAGGTGCATAACAACGAGAAAATCAATGATTCAACAAACGCCGGACAGATGTAGATTATGGATAATTGTTAACAGTATGATAGTGTTTAAAGTCAAGTAAATAAGGCGCCGTTTATATTGTCAAGACAACGTACAACAAACAAGTGTTTCCGGATGGAATGGAAGAAGCTTTCTTCTAACCGGCTTTCATATCTAATATCAGTAGATCAGCGATGCTTCCATGTATGAACCTGGTTGTATTTAACAATAAACAGAGAAATATTGGTTAACTCGAGTGAAATACTCTTCTGAATTCCTAGGAATATGTTAGGCTTCCCCAATATCTTCGATATATTTGTTACGAGCTTGTATTAAACAACTGACTTCTATGAGGTTGCTGATTGTTATATAAATGCGGATTCAGATACTTAGTTATCTTCAATGGTTGGTAGTGTAACTACGTGACTACATGAATTCTAGTTATTAGTCGATTTGTATACCTAGAGGTTTGAGCGTGTGTGTTTATCTCAGGACAGTGGAAATCATTGATATCAGCAGCTATACAATTACTAGTCAGGAGGCTTATTGTTCACAATGTGAAAATAATGATAAAATGATAATTTAAGTGGTAAAGAGATTATTGTTTCACGAATAACAGACAAGTCAAGTAACTTGTGATGTGCGAGAAGACGAAGTTAGAGGAACAAGAGGAAAGCAGGGATGATAACAAGAGGGGCACGATATCGTGAAGCGTTTCGTAGGTTTCAACCATTGAGAGAGACAGCTCCGAGGTATCTACGCATGATATGGTGAGTTGTGTTTGCCTTGGCTACATTTGTGTTAAACCCCCCTGTAGTTATAAGCCAGGTATCGCTTATATGAGGCCACCGGGATCTGATTCCTATGGAGGACGTAAGTTAATCGTATCAAACGAGGCGTGATATGCCATCTCAACAGATAGGTTTTAGTCTGTTGTCTGTTCCCTCTTCTAATGTTGTAACATTCTTTTGAAGCTTAAGTGAATTCTCTTCACGGTTTATGGACCCCTAGATCTTGACGGTGTCTGCATAGATAAGTGCTACAGAGTTAAATTTATCTAAAAAGTCGTTAGTAAGATTCAAAACACAGGAGTGGAACTGAGATTGTTCTTTTTGAAACTCCTGATGTTGAGACTTTTCAATTTGTATGTTCTTCATTTATCTTGGTAAGAAATACTTTGGCAATATACCTGAGCACCTCATATATTTGCCGGGATTGATAAACATTTGACTGCACACTTGCTACCAATTCAGTTCGTAAATACAAAGTCGCTCCGCACCCATTCTTGTTTTATCCTCATTGCAAAACAAAGATATGCCGTGTATTACTAGCCCCTGGTCTGCAGTCTCAGATGCTAATATTTAAGATATGTATATCATATGAGTGTTTCCATCGTTACTTAGTTTGTGCTATTCATCCACTTTGTTCCACAAAGTTGGGGCGTTCGTATATAGGCAGTTGGTGCTTTCGATTCGAAAGCTGTGATCTTTCTCATTGTAGTAAAAATTTCAGCTTTGAAAGAACAATTAGCTAGGTGACCTTTGTTGGTTATAATAACATGAGTCTTGTAGTTGATTTCAATTTGTCTAGAATTAATCAAGCGATGAGAAAGTAAAAGACCCACTCAATTTCTTCCGGGCCTGCGGAATTTTTGAGGTTTCCTCACAGTTTCTTTTATTTGAAAGACAATAAAAACGAAAGAACATCATATATGAAATTATTAATAAATGACTTAAATATTGTGGCTATAGATCCTTAAGCCTTTCTCTATAACAATGGAAATAAACACAGTTGAATCAGTCTTTCGTCATACGACAGCTTTCCAGTTCCAGAAATCAACAGTTTTCCTGATAAAATGTTTTCTTGTATAGTAATGGTGAATTAGTTCTACTATAGGAAGTGTTTGTAGGTAAAAAAAAACACAAATAGTCTAACGCGAGATACTATATTTAGTTTCCAGGATGAAATATCAAGGAATTTGAAATGTTGAATCGACCATGTCCGACAGTATAAAATCCCTACACGTTGCTGCTCTCAAAAGGTATCCCTTATAGTCACTACCTCTGAGTAGCCAGAAGTTTAAATTTTGAGTTTTACTTTTAAATTTAATATTAGGACGTATCCTGTACAAGTATTTCAGAGGATATTCAGGAGCTTTTATAATATTTACTCACCACCGATATGTAAAGACATTGCTTGTAAAGACAGAAAGAAAAGTTCCCACAATAATACCAGTTTACTATAAAGATATCGGTTTTTCACATGTGTTATTCCAGCTGGCAATTGAAAAAACCTAATGGAAGCGGGTTAACTAAACACTGGCGGGTTTTGTGTTTGTATGGATTGTTATAATAGTATGTTTAGTGGGGTCTGTTTTGTTATGCATATTTTACTATCTCTATGTCGAATTAGTATCTTAGAAGCTAACCCTCTACTAGAGATGCTTTTTTTATTTTCCCGAGTATGAAGATGGTGAAATATAGTTGCTCAAGGATTACTCTAAAGAAATTCCTCAATGTTTTTATACCACATGGGTAATATCGTTAACATCGTGAAAAATGTCACAGACCCTTTTGTCCAAAGTTCTTTTTTCGTCGTGTTAGGTCTATCTTATTGTATATTTGCAAATTTCACATCTCTTGTCATGTAAATGTGTACATATTCTTTCGTGGTTCACATGACCTATTTTAGTACTTAACTGAAAGATATTTCTTGCGTTGGGGTTGTTTCCTTGGTAGTTTTGCTGTCATGAGTGCCAGTTCAAGAATATTCGAAACAACCAGATGTTCTGTTAGTATCAAACACTTATGTATTTGTTAGCTCTCCAATCTCCACTTCCAGCATATAATGAGTGAAATAAGCTAAAGCGGTATGTCAATCCTGTTAGGATAGCTGCATACGTGTTACCCAATGGTAGTTCTCAGTATGACCAGATACCTGTTTGGTAAAAGTCTTTGAAACTAGTTTGCCGTTCCTCATTTACTTGAGCTTAATCAATAAGTTGGGGCCTTTTCATCCGTAATTGTTTCCAGTCGTATATACTTTGTACTGTTTCTAAATAATGAAGTTTGAATAACCTATCAATCAGCAAGCAGATTCATCTTAGACGATGCCTCATGGAACAATGGTTATTAGCCTACAAAACAAGCTTATATCATTCGGACACATCACGTTGAACATATTCATATAATAATTGTTTTTATTTCTTATTTTAAACCCAGTCTAATTATCCGTGGTTGGAGACCCGAAACAACATATATACCATTGTCTGGACAGCTAGGTAATCTCATTAGTTCCCATACAATCGTTATAAATCACAGCCCCATGTATAAACCTCTTTAATTGCTGAGTTATTTTGCTTAACTGAAAATTTGTGGTTAGTTTTATTGTTTTTTCTTAAATTACCTCTCACTATATATCTTTGATATAAGGCTTTCATAAGTGTTACTTAAATACTGAGTCGTGAATTATCCCTATTTTAGATTGTTTGTTTATGGAGTGTACAGAAATTTGATAGCGATGTCCAGTGATACACGAAGAGATTTGCTTCTCGGTATCGATAGTATGATTACCAAATTACTCACTGCTATTCGATTTGAACGCAGGATATATGATAATTCTGTAAGTTTTAACAGTTTTAGTCCCTCTTCTTTTCGCAGCTCTCATAAGTGTTTTTATAAATTATGGTATCTGTGGCTTTAGATTGACTCGTATAAGATATAAGAAATTCGGAACAACACTAAATTCCTTTTAAACTTACTCGTATGGAACTGAACTCTTGAGAAATGACACCTTGTTTACTAGTAAATAAATTCTTATTTTAGTAAATATTTACTATATTTCTGAATGACTTTGAATATCATAGTTCATGGTGTGATTTCATGTGCTTAGTATATCAATTTCTAAATAGGTTAGCTCCTTAGTTAAAATCTTTCTGATCTCACTTGTAAATTTGTCGAAAATCAAAAGTTCTTAGTTCGTAGGTGGTTGTTAATCTATCTTACTTTACAAGATTTGTAGATCAGTGACCTCATTTTGTAGTATTTTCTGTGAATGGGGTTTTTATAGAACACATTTAAGATATTGTTTAACCTGAATTAACTTTCATTTATGTCACTAAAGTCAACATGTGATCAACTATTTTCTGTTTATATCAAGGAAATCCGATCGGTTTTCTTGTCAAATTTCTGTCTTGATGTAGCTTGTTACACACTATGATGGTTGTGTAAACAATAAGATGTAGAATATGTTTCTTCCCATTTTATATCCGTAGGGTGGATATTTCACTTTAATAAGTTTCTAACTTTGACTTAGCACGAATCAGTTGATAAAATTATAACTGGACTACAAAGTTTCAATTATCATTTGATAAACAACATAAAAACTTGCGTGAACTTCTAGTACGGTGAACCAAAAGTTTCTAAACAGTTTTTCAGGTTTGTTTTATAATGCTAGAATACAGATCTCGTTTTTGTTTCATAAAATATGACATGTTGATCGTATACAAATTTATGCAAGTAGCTGATATTGTGTACTTTTATTCACTGCATTTCAGTACTGAATTATGCTCGCCAAAGAAAAGTTTTGCTATTTTATTTATTTATTTGAACACATAAATATTGGCACAAAGGGGCACCAAATACGCCACACCATAACAGTGAGAATGTGGGATAGGGAACGTAAAAGGCGTATAAGAAAAGGAGAACAATAACGAACATAAATTAGTGTATGGTAGTGAAATAATAATGGGAGGGGCGTTTCGGTTAGCAAAGGTACAACCAGAAAGATTTCTTGCAGATAAAGAAGTTACGTCTATTTTTTACAAAAAAAAGTAAACGAAAGTTACAGCAGGATCACCATTGGCTTCTATTCTGAGCCATTTCTGATAACGTCTCATGCCGCTGTGTTGCACCGTCGCCAATTAAATTATTGTCGTTGTGCCCGAACACACGATGCGGAACTTCTGCATTACTAACATGGTGTTGCCACTGGATGTCAGCAATCCTTCGGAGACAACGATGATCAAACGCAGAGAGTCGTCTAATATCCTCAACTCGGAGAAGCCAGGTTTCACAAGCATAGAGCAAAGCTGCTCTCACTGACGCGTTGTAGATCCGACCTTTTACGGCCAGACTAACATCACGAAGGTGCCAAAGATGGCCCAGATTGGCATAAGCCGCTCTGGCTTTCACTATACGTTCATTAATCTCATCACTCACACCCCCACCAGCACTTATGCAGCTACCTAGATACACGGACTTTTCGACTACTTCTATCTGCTCACTACCCAGGGTGAGCGCGGGTTCAACATCCTGCCAGTCTTGTAAAATTAATTTGCACTTCGAAGATGCAAAGCACATACCGTACCTACGGACATTGATTACGAACTGATTAAGTGTGGATTGCATGGCTTGGGCATTATCGCACAGTAAGACAATATCATCCTCGTACTCAAGGTCGAGAAGTCTTTCTCTAGGCAACAGATCCACACTACCATTACCTATGCATTCATTGAAACAGTCTCGCTTATCTTTCACTTTTATTTGCACTTTAGTTTCATGAAGTTGGAAGTTCACCTGAGATTTTCCAAGAAAAAAGATCTCCATCAACGACATTTTGTAAAGCTACACAAACTGTACAAACATTTCCAGTATCTTCCGATATATGTGATCCACCAAATAATTTGAGGTTAAACAAAGACTTCGTCTCAAAGTATGCATCATCCGGTTTTACTTCATCTGGACATCGATCATGTGGCTCATCGATAGCGCATCGTTGTGAGGAAGATATCAGCAATCACTTTACAATAATGTGTCCCTCACATCCGAGCTTATCATGCTCATGCAGTTGCAAACTATATCAGAATAAGTATTGTTCCACTCCTAAGTAAGCTTATTTTTAAAATAGCATTGCTTAATATGCAGTGATTAGTTTTTAAAGAAAACTAGTTAATGATCGAACAACTATTAGATTATTATTTTTGTTAATTATATGTTCCAATGTAATTGAATATTTTAAAAACATCGATTATGCAGTCAATCAATTTTTACATGATAACCGTCTTACTTTCTGTGATAAAAAATCAATTAAATGAACCTTTAAATTTAAAACCTCTTATATCACTGATAGTAATACTTCAGCAATTGTGTCCATCTGAAATGATTTTTTCCATACTAATTTATAGGGAATATTTATATCCATTTGCAGTAGACTGATTTACAATAGTTTTTTACTGGTTTGTTTCACAGAATTCCAACTATAAAAATGTAGAATGCTACTTAGTGTTATGATCATACTGCACAGAAGTGGACCTACTGAACAATGAGTCTGAAAAAGCAAATTGGTTTCAAGCCTATCCACATATGATAAATCAACCATTCACTCCTTAACAGGTTCTAGAACATAGAAATACCTACCGACTCCTGATTGCTGTACTGTTTCTTGACGTGAAGGTTATGTCTGACTCCAGCCACTGACACCTTGTATCTATCGTAGAAAGTGCACAAACCTACTGAAATCTCTTTACTTACTTGTTTACGCCTGTTACCCCTCGTAAAGGAGCATATGCCGCCCATCAGTTTTCTCAATCGAACTTTGTCCTGGGCAATCCTTTCCAGTTACTATTCGTTCTTTTGATGTCTGCCTCCGATTCCTGGAGTAATATGTTCTTTAGTCCTCCTCTTTTCCTTTTGTGTTCAGAACTCCGAGTTAAGATATTGGTTTACAGTTGCTTTGATTCCTATATACTTTTCAGCTGTAGGAATGCCGTCCTTTTCCAATTTGTGCCTTCATATTTGAGTCAGATCCTCCTTGTTCATTAATGTTGCCCAGATATGTGAAAGTTTCCACCTGTTCCACAGCTTCTCCATCCAATGTGATTGGCTTGGTGTTCTGTGTTGTACTTGAAGATCTTGGATTTTCCCTTGTGTATGTTGAGTACTTCTTCAGAGTCTAGTGCTACATTAGTTGTCTTAACCTGAATTTTTTGGTGTATATGGGATAGAAGAGCTGGTTCATATGCGAAGTCCGAATCGTCTAGTTGCATCCAAGCTGTTTGTTGTATTCTGTGCGAAGGCTCTTTAGTCTAGTTTTTACTGAATCGTCATCTGGACCGGCTACTATATTAAATAATTTATTTGGTTATTGTTAGGTAAATAAAATATCAGTTGACTCACAGTTTTATTCATTATATCGTTCAACATCGTTTTCTTTTTTAAAACCTTCTGTAAGTATTTTTAAAAGATATAATTTTTTTAAATTGTTATTTAAATAACTATTATTCTTTAAAAAAACAAAATGTTTTTTTGTTTGTCAGGTGCAATAATGTTGATCTTAGTCGAACCGGTTATATAACAACTCACTCTAACCATATTATATCAGCAGATGTTAAAGATTCTCGCAACGAACGTCGAACGTCTTCCACAAGTGGTTGTTCCACTGCTTGCTCTTGTCAAAGACATGCATGTGGTTTCGCCACTCCAAAGTATCCCTCTGAGTTGTTTCCTAATAAATCTGATTGCTCTTGCTCTTGTCATATGCATGTCTTATCAAAACTCTCTTAATGTTATCTCATAAAATGCATTTGTACAGAAAAACTTTGTATTTTGTAAATTTGTGCTATTTTATTTTTCCCTAAACTTGTTTTATTGAAATTTGTGTGTTAGATTTTTTAAGGTAATCTGGAGAGGAGGCACCAAATATTTATTTAAACACATAAGCATTGGTACAATGAGGCACCGAATACATATGCACCACACATATCATTCGATTCATGTGAGGGCTGGGATACTGCTCGAGTGCCCAGACCGAAGCAGGTGGTTTTCTTAGGGGACCACACCCCGAGCCTTTGACCTAAAGGTCTGATCCACAAGGCAATTGAGCATCGTAAAGAGATGCAGTCCCATGGTAACCGGTGACCAACGATTGGTTCATACGCCATTTGTTCCCGCAGGATACTGGAGCCCATGTGCAACATTGATTTGGTTTGGGGTCCGGTTAAAGCGCCAAACATTCGCTTTTCGTCCTCTCAATTTCGTAAACAACACCCCCGCCACGAGAATGCAGTGAATAGGACTTCCCTGGCAGAGGCTGTATACGCGTGGCCGTGTGAGATCATTTCGGGAGGGAGGGCGAGCCCACCCCACTCTCGACCATACCAGGGCATTTGGGGGCAATCTGAAGAGCACTTTTTATATCTAAACTTCCTGTTAAAATAAGTAAAAAAAAATAGTTTGTTTACAATTCTACACCAAATCTATAGCCTAATCCATAAATTATTAAGTCATTATCGTACGTAGTTTACTCCAAATTATTTGTGTATATGTTGTGGTACGTTGCAGTTTGATATATTGCATTATCTAATTATCAGCATTATGGATCAGAGTAACAAAAATACTTTTTGACCAAACGTATTTTTCTTAGTTTTTTAAACACGTTTATGCTACTCGTAAGTAACTAAATTTGCGTCTTAAAAATTTAAGACAGGCTTTTCTTCATCAAGTCGTATTCGACTGAATAAGCACACCGAATTTTTAGAAATTCAAAATGTTTTAAATCTAACCTTTCGAAATTAATTTTAGTTCAGTTCCTCAACCTCATTATTGATAACAAAATCAACTTACCGTACACTTAATAATAAAAATATGTTTTGTTATATCCCAATGAGTAGAAAAATTGTATTTCTGACGTTTCATGACGTAATGTAAGCCACTTCTTCAGATTAGATCATGAGACGTAAAGAATTCAACTTTCCTACTCATTTGAATATAAAAAAATATACTTATTGTCAACTTTCTACCCAATGCTCAATGTGTTTAAAACTATCAAGTCCAGGCTTAGCATTGACACTTATAATCTCATCAGTTACTGTACATTTATTACATTTCTCTTACGATCAATAATTAAAAAAACTTGCAAAATCATTTGAGATGTGTTCCAGTTATTTTAAATGCAGAAGGCAGATAGTATCACTAGTATTTACACAATTATTAAAATTCATGATTCAGTGCTTGAATCTGTAATTAATAAATTCAATGATACTTGACTTTACGACTTTGCCTCAAAAACTGATGAATCAATACGATAAGCCAAATTCTCATCATTTTTTAAAAGAATTTTAGGTGCTTTGTGTACGATAGAACCGGACAAGTATTTAAATTTCTGTGTTATGATATGTTTCCAAAATTTTATACCATTAAAGTAAACTACACACAGGGTTGAACCTAAGACATGGAGAGTACGATAACTCTAAAGCATCTTTCAAATTATTGAAGTACCGACCATTGAAATTCAAATCAATGGCTTAGTTATTTCAACTATCGTTACCATCCCGTTTGCAGTTTTAGATTCTCAATGATGTAAAGTCTCAGAGTAGTTTAAAACGATTATCACTGTAAGTTGATGGTTGGAGGTAGTCGATGGAAAACCCTGGACCAAGGTGTTGTGTTATTTGGCACTCATTAGCAAGGTATAACTGTTATCTAGAGAGAACTGAAGCACTTTGGTAAATTCGATCCCATGTCAATCAGCTTCAAGTTCAGAGACGTTATCACAGCTATTTAGACCGCAATTAACTAAATAGCAGTAAACCTCTGTCCAAAGTTTCTTGTCCACTACTTCTAACAGCCACCTTACATCTCAGTATTGTCCTTGCGATGTCTAGTTACTTGTACTAATGGCTACATTGAAACTTCGTCGGTAGGATTCGATCAGCACTCAAGAAGGAATTGACGTCCATCACTACACAGTGACCAATCAATTGTAAGTATTTGTTGATGATGAGGCTAGTCTACATATAACAAAGACAATTTACTGTTGCTATCTTAATTTCCTTGTAAAAATTTTCCTACATATATTGCCATTTTGTAAATAAACGGCAAAGGAGCAACGGGATTATTTGAGATAGCACCATTGTACATGCATTATTAACATTTGTCAGACAAACTTTCTGTCTAGAATATGAATTTTGTAGTAGTACTAAGTCCTATAATACATCAATCTATTTTGTTTTCTGTTAAAACTATGGAATAAAATAATACAGAAAAATGAACAAACTTAGAATGTATCCAAAATCTGGTACTTATACATGTGCTATGTGCTAACCACCCAACTGACTACTAGAGTGAAGACATAAGAATGAGTAAGAAAGGGTGTTGGGCTACCGAATAAAAATGCACAAGTACTCATATATATATGCTACTCTAATCCTGAAGAAATTAATCCATCTCTTAGCCTATGAAATGCACTTGTCCTTTACGTTACTTCTAATTGCCATCAATTGACCATCTCATTAGGCTAATTCTAAATTGGCTCTCTATGCCAGTAATACCAACCGGGTGTGTGTTTTTTTAACTCATCGAGCATACTGGATTCAATCTCACTGTAATCACCTTATCATCAAAATATTTTGGTCGAAACAAAACATCCATTCGCATGGTAACAAAGACTAAAGCATAATATTTTTTAATTTTAGCACTGAATAAAATGTATTGAAATTCAGGGAAAACAACAAATAGATAAAAAAATCTCATTAAATTTAGATACATGAAACATAGAACTTGGTATTGAAACTAATATTCAGTTTCATAATCATAGTGTTACATGAAAAGGATACATAATACTAATTAACAATAGGGAGAAACATCACCAAAATGTAACTGCTATATATGTGTATGGAAAATAATTATTATAATGGAACGGTTTCAAAACACCTTCGTTTCTTAGTCAACAGTGATAGATTTGTCTTAGATAACATATGTTTTGTTGAAGATATTTCACTACTTCTTGTTTAAATTGCAAATTATTCTATTTCATTTTAATAAACAGAAAGTGTCAAGTTATTACTTTGTTGTGATGTTTCACACTAGGACAAAACAGGTGTACATTACTTACTGGTTTCTAATAGTTGATTAACTAAAATTGTTTTGTGATGTAAATTACAAGCAGAGACTTAAGTTATCAATAGTTTGCATCACAAATAGATCTTAATTAGATCACCATTGAAAATCAGGAAGCACTAGATTCTATCTCTTATGGTTAAGTCATGAGTGCACATCGATAAGGAGTTCTACTTTAGAACAAAATAGCTGTCCTGTAGCTCCTGGTTTTCAATAGTCGTCTAACTACATTTAGCCCATGATGCAAATATGAAAAGAGGCCGTAGAAAGAATACAGTGTTTTGCACCAAGTGGTTGTAAGCCATATACGAGAGTACCCAGAATCTAGTTTTTCTTATGACCAACATTGATTATGATAATGTGTATATGGATACGCTCTAAAGCTTATAGCTTTATTGATCAAAGAGGTGAACATTGAATTGCTGAAGCAGAGATGGATGGTGGCTAGTAGTGCGACCCATGACGTCCGTTTCGTCCTATTTCATGCTTGTCAGCTGGATATACTTGCAACCATTACTTGATGTACGCTCCGGGACTTGAACCCAGTGCCATTCTCATTTATGTCAAAAAGACTGACCAATTGCAATCATAAACATCAACAGGAAGATTCAAATAACTAGTACAAATGAATCAATTCCATGTCATCGTAATTTTGTTCAATAATCTAACTCAGTATAATAGTGAAATAAGTGCTGCTAGTAAAAATACACTAAGAAGATTGACTCTGTTAGTTTAAGTAACTTTGTACTATTTCTCTAATATTATTCTTGTCATGTGTTTAGTTTATACGTTTATCACGAAATATGATTGTTAATTTAGATACGCTGACTTATAGGACCAAGCCAATGATATATACACCAGTACGGGCAGCCTAGAGTTGCGATTGGTCTTTTTCCACCTAGCCCTGCCTGTCAAGTCTAGAAAGCCAATCTCAGCCTTTGCGATAAAAATCATATTTCAAACATATGTGGTTTATATACAAACAAATCAGACCATAAAATAGAATTTAGCGTTTGTACAAGATCAGGCCAAAAGTGGCTGTGATTGTGGGACCTGTTACTAATAAACTGGGAATATCTCAAGAATAGTAAATCGTATGATAATAGTCAGTAGGTTAATTAAAAGCTTATAATGAAAGGAATATGCATATACATATAATATAGTCACTTAATAGTCATACAATAAGAGTATACGTATAATATTGCTAGGTTTGAAGCGGATACGAGTTTCACTTGGACTGCGAACGGAACACAGACTCGGTGATCGAAAACCAATAAGCTAGCTATTTGATGCATCCCAGCCCCGCTAACTAGAGGAAGAAGTCCAAGCTTGGAATAGAAGAAGTATATTCCCCAAACAGCCAGAAACGAACGATAACAACAAACACAAATCAAAACGTATATCTACAGCACAAAACCGTCCTTGGGCTAGGCGGAAAGCAGGACTCTAGGCTGCTCGTACGTGCTTGGTCCGATTGATAATTCATTGCTCTCTGAGTGGCGGTATTATTACGTTATCCATTAACAGGGTACTCAGGCCACAAGTTATAACAAATATTAGTTCATAAGTGATTCCTAACAGTTATCATTCGTTTATTCTCGTCCGGATATAACAATTCTTATTGATATAATTATGATAACTTGATAATTGTCAACTTTCATCACCAACGTTTTTTTCTAGATTTGATCTCGCAAAGTGTAATAACTTGAATTGATACCGTTTTGTGTCAAGTCTCGTGTTTTTCTGATAAATTTTTGGTTG